TTGATATTCTTGTAGAAATTAAGCATAATGAATATAGGGTTAATAAAATATACACACTACCCAATCATCAGCTCTTCTTGTATTGTTTGACAGTTGAAATAATATGAGACTGTTTTTAGTCCAGTGCTAGTGACTCACTCCTGTAATCCTAGCCATTCAGAAGGCTGATTTAAGGACCATGGTTCAAAGCCATTCTGGGCAGACAAATCTAAGAGACTCTTATCTCCAATTAATAATAAAAATTCCAGAAATGGAGCAGTGGCTCAGGTGGTTGAGCACCAACATTGAGAAAAAAAAGTTCAGGGACAGCACCCAGCCCCTGAATTCAAGCCCCAGAACTGGTACAGAAATTAAAAAGATCATCTCCATTGCTGACATTTGAATTCTGAGAAGTCTTGTGTTTAGAGGATGAATGAAACTGAAAAGGTAAGTTATTCTCCTATTTCTCGTATGTAATTACTAATTGAGCATCAATGTCATCCAAAGGGAAAGACAGACACTTGATTTGTTCCCCCTTTAGAAACATGTCTCGGCCAAGAAAGAAAGTAAACAGGAGGAATGTTATCTGTGAAGAGCTACTTCCTCCCATTCTGCATTTTCTAAAGTGGTTCAGAAAAAGAGGTAAATAATTTATCCAGGAAAGATATTCAGACTTAATATTTAGTGCTTCAGCATGGAAGGCATAGACTTAAGGATGCAGCTGTTATTCTTGCAAATGAGTATGAAGCAGAAACAGCACCCCATAAAATGCCACACAATACATCAGTAGGAATTGCCAGAAATAGTTCTGTACCCTCTTCTTGACAGATAGAAGCATAAAGAAGGAATCAAGAAATAAATACCTTAGTTTCCACCCCCACTTCAAACTCCTTTGGCATATTTTAAGAAGATAAATAGATACATACAAAATTTAGATAGCCTTTCCTTTTCCTTTTTGGAAGGTACATAAATGGGTCAAGCCTAGGAATTATTAATTTCCTGGCCTGAAAAGCTGAAGTATTTTAAAATAAGATTTCTGTTGTGGAGGATCAGCTTTCTTGGAATGTGTACACGTGCCTCCCCCCTTTCTTTCTATCCCCACTTTGTTTATATTTTAAAGGTAACAAAAATGTTTTGTCTAAATCTGGGGAACTACATTATGTACGGGAGAGGTGGCAAATTTACAGTAGTTCTATTTTTATACTATGTAAATAAAAATTGGGGTTTGTCATTGATCTATAAGGATATTTGAAAAAAAATTTTTTTATCAGTCATTGGGCTTGAACTCTGGGTCTGGGCGCTGTCCCTCAGCTCTTCAGCTCAAGGCTAGTGCTCTACCACTTGAGCTACAGCACCACTTCCAGTTTTCTGGTGGCTAATTGGAGATAAAAGTCTCATGGACACTCCTTACCGGGCTGGCTTTGAACCTCAATCCTCAGATCTCAGCCTTCTGAGTAGCTAGGATTACAGGTTTAGCCACTGGCACCCAGCTTGAAAATGGATTTTTAAGAACTATTTATTTATATATATATATATATATATATATATATATATATATATATATATATATATAAACACACACACACATATTCTTCTTCATTGTCCTTTTCTTCCCTCTAATAAGGCATCACAGCTGTACCCAGGCAAGACTTCGCTCAGGAGTACTCACCTAGGTAATTCTGAGAAACACTCAGAATGCTTATTCTAGTAATCTGTTCCTAAAGTGGGAAACTATTAATGCCACAATATCACTTCCCACTCTGATTATTAGTGTTATTCCTATTTTGTACTTCATACCTCCCAGGAAGATGGGGCACACCTTTCCAGCCTTTGAATGTGTTGTCTCAACCAAGGCTATCACTCTCTCAATTCTGCTAAAATCTCTGTATTCCTCAGTAGGAACAGTGGAGTGTGTGGTGAGGCCATGTGTCATTTAACTTGGCTCCCATTAATCCTAGGGAATAATCAGACAAATGATGACAGACAACAGACACTAGGGAGGAAAAATGCCCTAGAAAACTTACTAGAAAAGATCATTTTAAAGGTTCCCAAGATTTAATACATATTTAATGTGGAGAAAGAATTCTTTCCAATAAGTGCACAGGTTTTAACTTAGAGCAAACAACAAGAGGAAATTGAAAAGCCAAACAGAGAGAAAATTCAAAGCCAAGAGCACTCCTCCCTCCAAAAACTAAAAAATAAAAGTGCTTCTTGAGGGATGCATCTCAAGTGGGAAATATCCATTTGTTGAACACTAACTTCTAAAATATATGATGTCCTACAGATAGTATTTTTTTAAACAGCATTAGTACCAAACTACTTATGATGAGGACATATTAATCATGGAAATATAACAGCTCTGGGAGCCAATCTATCAAATGGCAAAGGCCAAATCTCAGAAATATCAATCCCATAGCACTTGTTCAGACATTTCAAGGTCATAGGTTGGTGAAATCAGAAATGTCTTTTGCAGCAACATACACTGAAGGTGGTCTCTTAATAAATGTGAAATGAAAGACAGACCAATATCCACAGCTTCCATAGAGCAGCCTCTGCCTCTGCAGGGCATATATCATGGACCATGGGAGACAGACTTTTCATAAGGATCAAGCCATCTCTGCATGCCACTAAATGATACAGTTTCAGTTGTTATTCTGAACCTGACTGTTTCAGAGAGGGTTGCAGTTAATTTAATGTGAACCAAGTGTCTCTGGGGAAATTTGCTGCCCTGTGCTTGTATAACCAGATGTTTGTGCTATAGAGACCTTTCCCCACCAACTTCATCAAACTGCTGATTGCATAGACTATTAAGTGGTTTCCTACAAGGATGACATAGGAAGTTTATGCAAGCTCTCAATAATCTCCAGACCACACTTCAAATGTGGAACGGCCACTGAGAGCCACATGGCTTCTGTGAATTTCCCTGGATGATTTCTAACAGGGGCTTCAGTAGTCTGAGAAAAGTATACACTGCACTCTATGACAGCACTGGTTTTGCAAGTCTTGAGCACATCCCCAAATCTGCCACTGTCTAGGTATATTGCTTTTGGCAAGTCACTCAACAATTCTGAACTTCAGCTTTCTCTTCCAGGATGAGGCTATTAATAACCTTCCTCCCAGGGCTGTTTAATGTGTGAAAGTAGTTTGTAAGCTCTCTCAGGAATTATTATTTTACAGCTCGGAAAGTTACCCTCAGGTATTGCCCAGAGATGGTGACATGTTTTGCCTATGGGTTCCTCTAAATCAAAGCTGGGGTAGAAGAGGACAATCCTTACCCTTCTCCAAACTAAGGAATACTGAGTAAATAGCAATTTTGAGCAGTAGTGAAAGAATTCATGCATTTCTGAACAAAATCATAGAACAGTATAAATCCTTCCCCTAAGAGTGATATCCTCCTTGTCTGTCCCAAAGAACTGCTGAGAAGTAATGGATTTTCAGTAGCTCTACTCTAGTTCATTGGGACTTTTCCTTTGTTAGAACTGGACTTACACAATGACATTTCCCAGTATTTTAAAGGTCATTATCAACAGGTCAGGTAAGTGTAAAGTATTGTTTGTGGATTTGTTACTGAGGGAAGGCATTAAGGAATGTAACAACTGTCCGAATTGTTGGTTTTCAGCAAAGAGAGTAAACTCATAAACAACCAAAAAAAAAAAAAAAACCCTCCAAAACCAGAAGTCCCTTCATAACTTGGAAAATCCTTTAGACCCTTTTTAAGGATGTTTAAAGGTTTTTAAAAAATAATCTTCAGCTTTTAATGGACTCATTGCTCAAAAACAAACTTAATGGAAAGAAAATGGAGGTAGGAGGCAACATTTATTATTGGTTAGTCTTTTGTGGTACCAATGGGAACAAAAGCCTGGAACCTGGGTTAGCTTTTAAAAAGTCAGGGAGAGATTGGAACAATGGTGTTGGAGGAAATAGAAGGCATCATGGGTTAAGGAGTCCTTCAATACTGGATCACCATTTTGAGATGAATATGTGGTGGAACTGTATTACCAAGTAGAACAGATGACTTCAGAGTAATTCCTAATGGTGTACTTAGAAGAAGTAAGAACATGGAAGTGCATTACTTGTTCTTCTGTGAGGATTCAAATGATGGGTTCATTTCCTGCAAGAGTGGAGCATAACTGTGGACCAAAAGGAATGTACTCTGTATGCTGCAATAAAGTTCATGGAAAGGTCCTTTCTATTCATATTAGACATGTTGGATTTGGTTTGCCCAACTCACTCTTGCAATTATAAAAGAATAAAAAGAGCATGTAACAATGTAATTTGTTTTGCCTGTGAACTTTTCTCTTCTAGTGATCCTGAACATAAGAGAGACTTTCCTCCTGTCAAGGAGGAAATTCCAAAATCTGTGATGTTTTGGGCATGAGATAGTGTCTTATTGGATATCACCTCTGCTCTCCTATTGCACACTACATATTTTAGCTTCAACTTCTAGTTAAGGTGAGTGAATCAACTCAAGATGTCTTATTTGAGTTCAAGTCTTCTACAAATCTAGACAATGCCACTGGAAACAAAAGCACTATAACCCAGGCCATATTACTGTATACAGAGTAAGTACAGGTTGAGCTTGATTGATTCTATTGCAGTTGACCTGAATGAAAGCAATGTGTGGGATGATTCTCGTATAGTGTTTAGGCAATTATTATTAAAATGAGATGAGGAAGGGAGTACAATGTAGAGAGATAAAAGTTGTAAGAAAGGGTGGCCATTTAAAGATGGTATATAACTGATATTAGAATACTATACATATATTCATTCTAATTTTGTTTTTAAATAAAAGCTAGAACTAGGAATCTTTATTAGTATACTTAAAGACTTCTGTAAATTAAGTGACAAGCAGAAATGAAGAGTGAAGATTTTAATGTTTTCTTTAAAATAACTTCAGTTGAATTAAAATGCCTCTTCCACATAGCTCCCCCACAAAATAAGCCACATGCTTATCGGCTGGCTGAAATAAGAGTCTATACCTCAACAAAAGAAACAGTAAAGTAAAACAGAGGAATGCATTCGTATCTTAATGAATATATGCCTTTAATTCATGATCCAATAAAAACTCAATTGATGGCTTACTATAACTCTTATGATTCAATTATTAAGATTTAATATTATCATGGGTGAAATGCTATACATTAAAATTTTAGAAAGATAATCATTTTCCCTTGCAACAGAGAAAACAATTAAGTTTCAATGAAAAAATGATAAAATGATATGCTGCCACTAAAATGTAATTATTTTGTGGTCAAAATGCTTTGGGTTTGAAAACAAAGTTTCAACTTTGTCTCACATTATTTTTGCAGATGGCCAGAAAGCCTAGACCAGTCATAAATGAATTTTCCAAGAATTGTCGGATTCCCTGATGAAGATATACCCCCATCTCATTCCATGACTAAACACAAGTTTAAAGATATGACCCTTAAGATGAAGGTATTTTGGATGCCATATATTACAGTTCTATAAGGATGATGGAAGAATGACTTATTACAAGTTCAACTTGGGTAGTGTAACAGGCATAATAGAAAAAAGGAAGGAAGTAGGAAAGAAGGTAAGATAGGAAGAAAGAGGAAAAAATGGAAAGGATACAGGGATTAATTATTCTTTGCAAATCATAGTAAATCATAGTCTGACTCTTTTTTTTAAAAGTTTAAAACAAATCTGTGTCAAGTGAAGAACTTGTCCTGAAATGTTCATAATTGCACTATATTAATGACTTGCTCAGAACCAGGACCCAAATTCACCTATTCACTATCAAGATAAACAAAGGCAACTGAAGTACAAAAGGAGATGGCATGTGGGTGGAGAAGGCTCACATCTCTGCCTTTATTATCTGAATAAAACCAGAGTAAAACCTAATCACAAACACGGACAACATCTACTATATCAGTTTCTGGCATAGAATGTTTTTATAACTGGAAGGACCCAGGAGAACCTTCCAGAAGAAGAAGAAAAATACTATTTGAGGATGTTAAGGGGGATTCAGAGTCTTCTGGATGTGTTTTGAAATTCTGCTGAGTATATATTTGGGATTTGGGGATGACTGTTTCCATTACTGACCTCAGCAGAATAGTCATAGTAGTATAAATAGATTATTTAAAAATAAGGCACAATCGTGGGTTGTTTTCTGATTGTCAGTGCACCAAAAGAGGCATCCCTGGAAATGGACTAGAGGCACATTTTGCAGAGGTATATCTTTTTCAGTTTGCTGGCTTTCTACAGATGGCTAAAGCAGGGGTATGGAACATGCTGTCATATTTCATTCATAACACACATGTACCGCAGCTCTAGGCAACAGATGGACAATCACTTGTTTAAACTACAAATGTGAAATACTAAGGTAGAATGGCAATATTTCTAGAACTGTATATGAAAAAAAAAGCCTTTCCAAGCCAAGAGGGATGGTGAGAGGCTGTGAGGTTATATCAGTGTTTCCCTGATCTCCCTAGCAGCTGCCATCATTTTCCCAACACCCTTCAAAACTTGATAATGGAAGGATCAGGGGGCAACAGACACAGATTTGACAAGAGAAGCCCTAACCATATCAAATAGAAATAACACTGTTATCCTGGCTGGTTCACATTAATAGGATTTTTTATTTTTTTAATTTTTTAATTTTTAATTTTCACTAACTAGGAACATGGATGGCAGTTGCATTTTCAGAGTCCTGTCTATCTTCTACTACCTATCTACTCCAGCCTCATTAAACAAGCACTCTCTTCTTCCTCTGGACACAAATGTAATATACTTCTTTAAGGTATATGGCTAGGGTTACCTTCTTTGAATACCAGCATGAGCATTTGCAGAATCTCTTATAGGAAATCATTATATCTATTTGTTAATCAGTATACACCCCATGAGGAAGTTTTGATCAAGGAATTTCTCCTTCAGAAACACCAGTGTGTCGAGAACAGGGAGAGGAACCCTCATCGTTGAGCTGCAAAGATGTTGGAATCTCATATCTTGGATTCCTTATACTGGGATGCATGATTTAATTTTTAGTTTTAAAGACAATTTTGTTTGTCAACCAGACTCCACATTGAGTCAGTAGGAGCTGGAGATCCAAACATTCAAAAATTCATACTTTGGGGCTCAGTGGCAGAACATTTTGCCTAACACGTATGAAGTTCTGGGTTCATTTCTGAGCACTGCAAAAACAATTGACAATCATCTTATTATTAAATAGTCTGAGGAGCCATGGCAGAGCATTTTTGCCTTTTCTTTTTTATGTCTCTCATATTACACAAAATAGCAGATATTTGTGCTTTTGATACTTAAAAAATATGGTATATTTTCTTACAAACTTTGTGCTATAGACTCTATTCTTTTATACTATTCATGTATTAAAAGGATAACAATCAAGATAATATATCAAAAGAAAATGAGTATCATCAAGTTAATATGATCTTTATAACTCTGTTATAGGCACTATTTCAGGTATATAACACATAAAAGGGTGACTTTGCTTTATTTAAATCAAAGGATTTACAGAAAAAGAAAAAAGAGAAATATAAATCATATATTTAGGAAATCCTAGAGTAAAATATGGTAGGATCCTTTCCTTATTAGATCTTGTGAAAGGAAAACATCTAAGTCTAAGTATTTCTGTGTACGTGCACATTCCTTCTTATAAAATTATAAGTCTATATTAAAAAGAGATTTACTTTAAAAGTCTTTGGTAAAGATACTCTGAGGTGACATGATAAGAACACAGTATAAAGATTGTAAGCAAGCAGAGTTCTCCTGGTAGAGCCACAGGATGGGCTTGTGACAACACTTTTTTTTAAAAACTTTTTCTTTTATGTAAACATTTGGTTGCATACAGATTTAAACATAACAAACAAGTAGGATGGCATTGCATTTTTATAGTGTGAATACTTCAGTCTTTTTTTTTGTTGGAATAATTTATAGGAATAAATGATTGTATTTCCAGCGATAAAACATAACCCTCCATAAACTCCATCCTAATTTTGGCCTAAATATATTTCCCCACAAAGTATTTCATAGTAAACATATTAATAAATCAATATAAGAGGATTATATTACACTAGCAGTCAGTGCTCTTTGAAGGGAATTTGCATAGTCTGACTTTTTTGATCTGAAACACAGGAATTCAGAAACACAGTCTCCACTGTATCCTGAAATTCACATACTGCCCCTATATGAATATCATTCTATTTCACATTATGAGAAATATAAGATCAACAATAAGAGCAGAAGGTAAGAACAGGTCAGTGGTGAAAGAGAGCTGTTGAAATTCATGACTTTGTTGGTTTTACACACAATTGTTGAACAAAAGCAAATACGCCATAGATTGAGTTAGATGAACTGTGGTGCTATGGGCTTAAGATTTTCTCATTCTTTTTTTTCTTAAATCATGTATATGATGATTCCTATTCAAACAAAAATACATTCAACTAGAATTTCTAAGGCACGAGTTGCAATTTAAAACATGTACAAATAAGTTTTTATTTCTGTTCTGGTTGTTAAAATTAAAAAAAATAATTCAGACCAGAAAAATCCTCTGCATCATCAGGCATAAAAAGGTTTGTGAAATTAGAGAGGGATACTCATTAAATGTGACTGTATTTCTTAAACTTGATGTTAGGTATAGAGGAATTCATTATATTATTTGTATTTATATTTTTTGTATATTTAAAGTACTCCATAACTTAAAAGTATATACCTGGGGAATTTTAAAAGGAAACTTAAAAAAAATCTCAACTCCCAAATACTTAATTAGTTTTAAAAAAAATGGCAACTTGCCATTGCTAAGCTAGGTATCTCTCAAGTGAAACATGCTAGAACTTAATTTGGATCTGCAATTGGCAAGCAAGTGTTTCACTGGCTAATAAGAGTTTGAATACAGATTCTAGGCAGAGATTCTGCATATTTTTAGCACAGAAAGGATTTTTTTTTACAGTGATTGTCTTTGAAAGTGTGGTATAAATGTCACACTAATGATATGAAAATGTCTCCTGCAATATGTAATTCAAGTTGCAGAAGGATTAGGAGAATAATAAAACTGTGGTTTCACAATCTTGAAACCATTTCTTTCTTTTTAAAGTAAATGCAACAAAGCTACACAACTTCATTTTGTGTGCCTTGATTTGCAAAAGTCAGGCAAAAAAGACTTTGTCTGGGGAGTTGAAAAAGATAAAAGAGCAAAAAGAAGGAATTTTAGCTATTTTTTAATAGGTAAATTCCTCTAGAGAAAGTCAATACTCTTAATTGGGTTTTGACTATTAGGAAAGAAAACACATATAAAATACGATTTTATGTTATAGAGAGTTCTAAGCTGGAAAGTGGGACAGTACTGAAAATGTTACAAAAGCAAATCTGTCTACATATGTCCAAGTCATTTGGAAAGGTAAAGCTAAAGATAGAACAAAGGATAATAATGCATTTTTCCCACGCAGCCTTAAAATGCTTTGTGTAGCATATCCCACCCAGTAATCATTTTTAGAAAACAACTAAAGCTTGGTTCTCATTCACCAACCATTAACTATGGACCCATACTATTTTCTGATGAGATTTAGCCATGGATCACCATAGATTTTTGAATTTGGATTGATGTAATTCAAATTGGAGCTTATTTGAATGTACTGTACTTTATAACAAATTTTTGTAGTCAAACATGAAAGAATGTACATTGTTTTTTTCCTTTATGGCACATGCATGGTAGAGAGCAACAGGAAAATATACTTTTCAATACAGAGCAACAGAATGGCTAACCAACCCTAAGGGCACAAGCAGTCAGGAATATTGGGATGAGACTGCAAGCTATGAGCACCTGTGAGTTGGAACATTCACCCAGGGAGGAAAAAAAAAATCATGTGACAGCAAATACCACATTAAAAAAAAACACTATTCAACCAGAAGAAAAGCGAGAAAAACATGGGGATTAGAAGTTAGAGGAATACAGAAGTGAATGAGACAAAGTATAATCCGTGCAAAAATGTGAAAGTCTTTAGAACAAAGGCCTGTGGAGGCCTTACATGATCACTTGTGAAGTGTGTATTTGATAAGAACTTAAAAGAACAAAAAACCAACTCATAATCTATGTGTTTCTAAAGAAAGGTTAACATCAGATGAAGAACAAAGCTTGATTGCCTTGCCTCTACTTTTCCTATTCCTTCCCTTTGTGTGTGTTTCATTCTTCTCGGTGCTGCTGTGCAGTTAGCAGCGAAAGCAAGCTGCTGGATCTACAGGTCAGTGCTCGCCTTGGCTGTTAGCACCCTGATACGAGTAGAGTTGCAGGTCTTGCAGAGGATGTGTCCATCCAAGGGGTAGCAACCTTGATTGTCTCCTTCAGACAGAAGACCACCACAATCCTAGAAAATTAAAGATAGAAACAATGTCAATTCAAATGTGCGTACATGAAATCCAATGTGTCAGCTTTATAGTCAAGGCCTTCACAGAGGGGCTGCTTGCTATCTATCCTGCTTCAAGTAACATCAAGACTTGCCATCTGCCCTGTTCCAAGTATAAAGCATGATGTATTCTGAATCAAACTCAATTAGACATTATAGACATAAATTCAAAAGGAGTAAAAGGACTCTTTTAAATGCACTTGATTTCAGTTCCAAAGGCAACCTTGTTGCCTCAAATGAAAATAGCAATAACCAGAGAGGGGAAAAAAAGTGATCTAATCCATCTTTACCCTGTATTGGCAGCTTAAAGATCTCTGTAAAGGAATGCACAGGTTCAGGAATGGAAATCTTGAGCCCTTTCTGGGCCAAAACAAAGAGAGTAATTCCTGCCAAGAAGGACCACCACTGGTTTCTGCATACCTATTTCAACTGTAGTAAAATAGTATGAAATCCTATAGGCTGTGGAGAACAATAGTTCACTTCACAAAGAAGATAGTACAATGTAGAGGAATGCATACCAACTATGAGAGGCTCAAGGGGTACTTGTCCTTAGTGTTTGCCACTGCACACAAGTCTGACTGCAACTCTCAAACCCTGCATTTTCTATCTTACCAAGCTCTTTGGAGAGCCAGAGCAGAAAATGGATGTAGTCATCATTTGAAGAAAAAAAAAAAGAGCCAGAGAATCACATAAGTGCAAAAGATTGTCCGTCAACAGTACCTCTGATGATCCATGTTGGAAAGTGTTAGTAGTTAAATGCTGGCCATTGCCTTTGGAGAAAACGGGCTTCCTTGGAAATTAAATCCAAATGCTATAGGTTACAACTGCTACAAATTGCATGTCTGTTACCCAGCAATGGCAAGGAGAGGTTAATGGAGCTCATGTCACATGAAAATTTAGGTTCAAACTAGGCGTGGTTCAGAATGCAGTGGCAGTAACAGTCATGCTCCGCAGGAACTTTGGCTTCACCAAAAAGTGTCACTGGATCTATTGTAGTTCTAGAGGCCTTTAGGAAATTGGGCAATAGAACTAAGCAAAATCTTTCTGTTGCAATACAAGAAGGCTATTTCATAAGAAGTGTAGTTTCAAGCACTCAGTGGAGCATCATCCGGGCACCTTGAGGAGCCCACAGTTGGTCGCGGCCTTGGAGTTATTAATACCTAGAATCTCAGAGCCAAAGGGAGCCTTTACAGAGTAGCCACTGCAGCCTTCTGTCACTGTCACACAGAAAGGGAAGGCAAGGGACAGAGAAGGAATTCGTCTACATATGAACTTATACAAGGACTAGAATGATGCTTTGTTCTTTTCTGTCTGTAATGTTTTGCTCTCTTCTAATTCAACATTCTTTCCATTTTTATAGTTTTCTTCTGAAGAATTTCTCAGCATTTTAAAGCAAATCTAATTTATATAGCTATCATTTAACTCAATAGGAGAAGGGCGCATTTCAGGCAAGCCACTTAAAAAGTCAAAGCCCATTTGTACATAGATCAAGTATGTGAGAAATTCTGGGAAACCTTGTTCTTGGAGCCCCAGTTTCTCCATCTATAAAATATCTATTAGATCTTAGGCACTCATCATTTGGTCTATTTTAAACATAATGGATGGGCACTGTTTTTCTTTTAAGTCATAAAACCTTGTAGAAAAGCTGTTGGTTTTGTATTATCTTTTCTTATGTTAATGCTGGAACAAGGCATGCAACTTGGGCTGTAGGGCAAACCAAAGCACAAGACATAAAACAGATGGTCAGTTACAGCTAAAGCAGCAACTGGAATAAATATAGTTCCAGAGAGGCCATAGCCCCATAAGCCAGTGTCCTGGGATGATCTCCTAGCTAGATGAGGCGTGAGTATAAGGAGGTTATTCTACACAGAAAAGGGAGTTCAAAGTACTTCTCAGAAGAGCTAGTAAAAAATAAGGAAACTGTTTCAAAGTAAATTTGTAGAACTAAGAAACTATTTTAAAATCATTAAAATTCCAGGAGGAAAGGCCTTTCCTACATTAACAGCCTAATGTTCCATAGATTTTAGCTGACCTCCTCTGTTTCAGAAGAACGTCTCTTGTCTTTTCTAGTCTGAATTACAGGTCTGTATTCCCAGGATCCTTCTGCATGACTCTTCTATTATGCTTAACAGGCATCTGACCTCATGTGTGAGTGTGTGTTTTATGTGTATTTGTGGGTTTTCCGCTACTGGGATTAGAACTGAAAGCCATGTGCTCTCTCTGGGCTTTTTTGATAACTGCTGTTGCTTTACCACTTGAGTCACACTGCAGTTCTGGATTTTGCTGGTTAATTGGAATATCTGATTTGTCTGTGATCTTCAGATCTCAGCCTCCTGAGTAGTTATGATTTTAGGCTTGAGCCACTAGCACCATGCTAGTTTCTTGCCTTCTAAATGTTTAGTCAGTACTTAGTAATAAATACACCAATGTCTATGACTTTGAACCAGAATCTCCAACCTTTCTGAAATAAATGAATCCCTGACATCATAGATATAGATAAGCAGAAGATTGGAGTCATAAGCATTCAGTACGATGACAATAATAATGATACCATATTTTCAAATGTCTAAATTATTTTTAAAAGATGTCCATTGATTCACGACTTTGTATTTTAATGTCTAGCCACATTTTGGAGTTATGAATTTTAGTCCTTGCTAAAATAATTGCAAATTTGTGTGGGAAACATAAGGTGACTTATACAATGTCACTTGACATCAATGACATATACAATGTCACTTGAGTTTACTTGAATTAAATGAGCTAAAACCCAAGTCCATTGATGCTAGCACCAAGGTTTTCCCCAGAGTGAAGGATTGCTACAATTATGAGTACTCAGCTCTAATAAGCCATTCCATGCCTGCCACGCAGTAGCAGGACATGAGGAACCCCGTACAGACCTCACAGCGGTAGCAGTGCACATGGAAATCACGGTCGAGAGCCACAATGCGAACAGTCTCCTCCTGGCCTGGGGCTGGCATGATTGGCTCCTTGCACACAGAACATCGAGGTGCAAATTTCCTGAAAAATGAAGAAAGTGTGTTTAGACCCTTAGTATATTCATCAACAAACAGCTGCAGAAGAAAAAAAAAAGACACAAATCAGAGTCAAGACCATGTGTCTGAGTTTTATGTACAATCTTGAACAAGTCATATTTCTTCTGCGGCCCACTTCCTCATCTGCACAAGGGACTTACGACAACTGAGTCATATTTGATTTGGTGGAGGAGTGTGTGAATTGCTTTGTATGAAGAGTGTGTAGGAGCACTTTACCACAACAGCGTGTCATATGCAATGTGCTTGTGCATAGATTCCTGCTACAAGCACAAAGCTCAGTTGAACAGAGGGAGGCATGGTTCATGCTTCTGATTTCTATAACTCTAGATGCTTTCCTTTAGCCCTAGTTTGCTATCTTTGCCTCCTTTCCAACTATTAATGCCTCTTTTCTGAAATGTGTCTTGAATTCTAGAAACCAAGATTAGAATTCTCTAATCCATAGGTCTTCTGAATGACAGAGACTAGTGAGTTTAACTATGCATTACACTAAACTTAACAACAATCAATTCTAAATTTCTTGCATTTTGCCCACATTAAACTTTTGTTTAAAAAGAGATGTCAAGTTCATTATTCTTTAAAGTTTTTTTTACACTACTAAAAGCTATGTTCATAGAAACATATATACTCATACATATATGAATATGTTTTTGAGGATCTGATTAAGAATTTTATAGTTTCTTCTAAGTATTTTTTTACTATTATATTACCTACAGGTCCTAACTTTTTCTTTCTTGTAACAGATCTAGGCTTGATCTTCTTGGAAATTAGAGATGGCATTTGTGAAGGTATAGAATGAGACATGATTTGAAATGGACATGAATAGAAATTGAAGCTATTAAAAAAATCAGGCTATGCAACTCAGCCTTTTCATGGTAATGGTTTTAAGATTAATGATGTTAAAGTTTATCTATTTGTAGTTCAACTTAAAAGGAAATAATGGTAGTAATCTAATACTTTACAGAGCATTTTATGGTTGTCAAAGCATTTTTACATACATTATATTCTCTATATACATATTAATTTTCCTGGCAGCACCCAAAAGGCATCTGTATGGCTGCAATCTAAATAAATATGAGTTAAGCAGCAGATCAATTGATTGCTATGAAAGAAAAATTAAAAGGATCATGGTATGCCTGTAGCAGCAATCAGAGTTGTTATAAGTGGTATTTTATTCAAGAAGGAGTTTAAATATTCAACGGTAAAAAAATGCTTTGGACTACCTGATTATTTTTGAATCTAGGTCATTAATAGTGAAATAAGCAGGCTTCTGATTTCAGCTGCAAAATTTCCTTTTCTCAAATCCACTGGAACTATAGACTCTGAAAGTATCCATACCTTCCCCACATTTCTTTCTCTTTTTTTTTTTTGCATGTTTTTAATTGTAAAAATACTGTTACAGTTACATGAGCAAGGTAATGAGTACATTTCCTACTGAGCATTGTTGCCTCCTCCTTTGTTTTTCCCCTACTATCCCTTCCCTCTCACCTCCACAACTATTCCCCTTCCCCCCTCCCCCCAGCCAAAGTTGTAAAGTTCCTTTTCAGCATAGTGTCTTGTACATCTCATTGTTACAATGGGTCAACCTGAATCCCTTTTTAAGCATTTTTTTCCCTTCTCCTCCCCAAATCAGAGAAGTGTAAATACAAGATGCAAGGCACTGGAATCAAATACAGTGAAAACAGGGGTTATACGATGGGAGAGAAACATACAAAGAAACATACAAAGAAATAAAAAAAATCACATAGTATATTATAAATATGTTAGAAACAATAGCAAGAAAGAAAAAAAATATTTGTGTCCCTATCTTGGAGTTCATTTCTTTCGCTTAACATCAGGTTATATGGTCATATGTATATAGCTTTTGACCTTTTCTGCTTGTCCTAGACATGTATTAGTTATTGCAAATAAGGGAAACCATGGGACCTATGTTTCTTTGGGCCTGGCTTACTTCATTTAATGAAAGTTTTTCCAAGTCTTTCCATTTCTTAACAAATGGGGTGATATCATTCTTTCTGATGGAGGCATAGAATTCCACAGTGTGTATGTGTGTGTGTGTGTGTGTGTGTGTGTGTGTGTGTGTGTGTGTATCACATTTTCTTGACCTATTCATTTACTGAGGGGCATCTGGGTTGGTTCCATATCTTAGCTATGGTAAATAATGCTGTGATAAACATAGTTGTGCTGGTAGCCTTAGCATGACCTTGTTTGTGATTATTTGGGTAAATGCCCAAAAGTGGGATTGCTGGGTCATAGCAGACCTCTATGTGGAGTCTTTTGAGGAACTTTCATACTGCTTTCCAAAGTGCATGAACAAGTTTACACTACTACCAACAGTGTAGTAACTTTCCTTTTGGGCCACATCTCCTCCAGCATCTGTTGTTATTAGATTTCTTGATTATGGCCATTCTGAGGTGAGGTGGAATTTCAATGTTGTTTTGATTTGCATTTCTTTTATGGCTAGAGAGGTTGAACATTTCTTCATGTGTATATTGGCCATTATTATTTCTTCTTCAGAGAAGTATCTCTTTAAGTCGTTAGCCCACTTATTTATTGGGCAGTTGTTTCTTTGAGGATTTGTTGTTGGGGGATTTAATTTTTTGAGTTCCAGGTATATTTTAGATATGAGACCCTTGTCCATTGTATGGCTAATGAAGATCTTCTCTCAATCTATGTCCTTTGCCATGCAGAAGCTCTGCAGTTTCATGCAATTCCATTTGTCCAACCTTTCTTTGATTTGTTGTGTTTCTGGGTCTCTATTAAGAAAATTTCAGCCTGTGCCAAGGAGACTTAGGGGTTTTCCTATTCCTTCCTGTAATGTTTTCAGGGTGTCTGCTTTGACTCAGAGGTCTTTGATCCATTTGGAGTTGATTCTGGTGCAGGGTGATATATAAAGATCTAGGCTTTAGTTTTTCTACAGGTAATTAACCAATTTTGCCAGTGCCATTTACTGAAGAGGCTGTCTTTTTTCCATTCTTTTTTTTAAATGTCTAACATTTTTCCCACTCTTTTCTAAAATTTTTTTTATTGTGAAAATACTGTACAGAGGTATTACAATTTCATGGGCAAGATAATGAGTGCATTTCTTATCAAGCATTGTAGCCTCCTCCTTTGTTTCCCCTTCCCATCCCTTCCCATCCTCCCCCGCCCACCCAGTCCACCCCACCCCCCACCAAAGTTGTAAAGTTCGTTTTTGACATAACGACTTGTACTTCTCATTGTTGCAATAGTCCACCTGTATCCCTATTTAAACAACTTGTTTTTTCCCCTTCCCATCCACAAATTATACCAACATCAAATACAGTGAAAGCACTGGTTATACTGTGGGGGAGGGACATACAAAGCAACAAAGAAATTATCTTATAAATGCGTTAGAAACAATCGAATGAAAAAAAAAACATTTGAATACATATCTTAGGGTTCATTTCCCTAACATCACCTTATCTGACCTTTTCTACTTGACTCAGACATATACTAGATATTGCAAATAAAGGAAACCATGGGACCTATGTTTCTTTGGGCCTGGCTTACTTCACTTAAAATAATTTTTTCCAAGTCTTTCCATTTCCTAACAAATGGGGCAATGTCATTCGTTCTGATGGAGACATAGAATTCTATTGTGTATATATACCACATTTTTTTTTATTGTGAACATACTGTATAGAGGGGTTACAATTACATGGGCAAGATAATGAGTACATTTCTTATCAAGCGTTGCAGCCTCCTCCTTTGTTTACCCTTTACATCCTTTCCCAGCCTCCCCCGCCCCCCCCACCCAATCCTCCCCCCCCCCACCAAAGTTGTAAAGTTCCTTTTCGACATGACAACTTGTACTTCTCATTGTTGCAACGGGTCCACCTGTATCCTTAAATGACTTGTTTTTCCCCTTCTCCTCCACAAATTATACTGACATCAAATATAGTGAAAGCAGGGGTTATACTGTGGGGGAGGGACATACAAAGCAACAAAGAAATAATCTTATAAATGCATTAGAAACAAATGCATGAAAGAAAAAAACATTTAAATACATATCTAAGGGTTCATTTTCCTAACATCACATTATCTGACCTTTTCTGCTTGACTCATACATATACTAGATATTGCAAATAAGGGAAACCATGGGACCTATGTTTCTTTGGGCTTGGCTTACTTCACTTAATGTAATTTTTTCTAAGCCTTTCCATTTCCTAACAAATGGGGCAATGTCATTCGTTCTGATGGAGACATAGAATTCCATTGTGTATACATACCACATTTTCTTGAACCATTCATCTGGGTTGGTTCCATATCTTAGCTATAGTAAATAATGCTGCAATAAACATAGTTGTGCTGGTAACTTTAGTGTGGTCTTGTTTGTAACCATTTGGGTAAATGCCCAAAAGTGGGATTGCTGGGTCATAGGGGAGCTCTATGTGGAGTCTTTTGAGGAACCTCCATCTACTTTCCAAAGTGGATGAACACGTTTACACTCCCACCAACAATGCAGTAAGGTTCCCTTCTGTCCACATCCCCTCCAGCATCTGTTGTTATCATAACCCTCATCCCAAAACCAGGCAGGGACTCATCAAAGAAAGAGAACTATAGACCCATTTCTTTGATGAACATTGATGCAAAACTTCTCAACAAAATTTTGGCCAATCGACTTTAACAATTCATCCAAAAAATCATACACCACGATCAAACATGATTCATTTCAGGGATGCAAAGCAGGTTCAATAAATGAAAATCAATTAATATAATACATCACATCAACAGGAGCAAGGATAAGAACCACATGGTTATCTCAATAGATGCAGAAAAAGCATTTGACAAGATCCAACACCCCTTTATGATGAAGGCTTTGGAAAAATTAGGAATCCATGGAACATTCCTCAATACAATAAAGGCTGTATATGACAAACCTACAGCCAGCATTATACTTAATGGTGAAAAACTAAAGCCATTTCCTTTTAACTCAGGAGCAAGAAA